GCGGCCCTCAATACGCAGCTGCAGGGCCCAAGTGGGCAGTAGGACTGAGCCGCAGGCAGCTCATCCAGGGGGCAGGAGGAGGGCTGGCTCCCCGCCACTGCGCACACACCCGGGGATTTGTGTGTAAGGTAGAGATGGGCTGCCTGCTGCAGGCTCCATGCCCTGCTGCCCCCCCTCCCCCCCCCCGGGGTCTTTGCAGCCCAGCGGGCAAGTCTCAATGTGGCAGGGCAGAGTGGGCTGGGGAAGCTCGGTTATGTTGCCACCAGCCACCCTGCTGTGCCAGGTCCCACCTGCTGGGCTGCAGAGGCCCTGGGGAGAGGGAGAACCAGGCTCTGCACTCGGCTGCACCACAGCAACCGCTACCTCCCACATGTGGCAGCCGGGGCTCAGGTGCTGTTGCGGGGGGGACAGGGGGATGTGGACCTGGATCCCTGGCCTCATAGCCCTGGCAGCTGGGGGCCCCCTCTGGAAGGCCTGGGGGGGGAGGGGGCAATGGCATGGGCAGGGCACTGGCATGTCAGGGCTGCTCAGTGCCACAAAGCAGTGGGGAAGGGGAGGTTGGGAGGGACAGACGCAGCTGCACCCACATCCTGGTGAGCAAAGGGGGTATAGGGAGCTCTGATTTTTCCCTGCTAAAAAGCCCCAAATCGCATACCAAAATGTATAGGTATTTCAAATTTATTTCATTATAGTGATTGAGGCACTGGTAGGCTTCCAAGGTACTCTAAAATTGTAAATATGTCAATAAAACACTGTGTTCAACTCATACCTATAAAATGAAATGCCACTGTATATAATCATGGAAAAACGTGAGTTTGGGGATTTTTAATCAGAAATTTGCATTTTTAATCAAAGAACTTGCTATTTTAAACAGAGAAAACAGGATCCCTGGTCTCAATCTTTTTTCAACAATCCTGTGTGTATGCAAAATAATGCACAGGATCTCTACCCTTCTACTTCAGAATCCCAGTGTTTCAGCTTGAGTTTAAAGCTCTCAATTTACATCTTGTGGAGGCCATTCAAGTCTATACTTGACTAACAGAGAGCATGGTGACTGAAGGAGTTATTGGTCAAAAGGAGTTATTGGTGCTCGACAGTTTTAAGGATCAAAATACTTGGGAGCCAGATCAGAGTCTTCTTTTTGGGGTTTTTTTGGTGAATCTTAACCTGCCCTTTTGGATTAGGAACATACCTACAGCACAATCTCATTAAAATGAACCAAGGGACAAGTTCATGAAAAAACAGTGGTTGGTCTAACAGGCTTAGTCAATTTGCTACACTGTAATGGAGAAAAAAAAATTCCTGCTGTTCATAGTTAAAAACAGGTGCTACGAAATTGTACTGTATATTTGTACAGATCATTACATACAACTATAGTGCAATCGAATTTACATTATAAAGTGTATATATTTATAGTACAATATAGTTTTTAAAAACCATAACCATCTCAAAATTCAAGTCAACTTACAGGCTTCTTAATACTAACTGCTCATTAGAAAGAAATTTTTTAAACATTTTACATAGACTGATAAATTTTAATCATCTTTTTGTTAACAATTATCTTAATTCTATAATTTATATATTCTAGTTTTGGTGGCAGAAAAATGAATTTATATACGAACAGATAAGGGAACAGGATGAATTAAGAAATGTGTATGTTTAAGAACTGGAACAGAACAGAAATGTAGGACTGGAAGGAACCTCAAGAGGTCATTTGGTCAATGCAGGGCCTATGACAGGATTAAGGATATCTAGACCATCCATGACAGATGTTCACTTATGTTCCTATAAAACCTGCAGTGAAAGGGATACCACCACTATGCTAGATAGACTACCTACTCTAATGTTTCATTATCATTCTTGTAGGAAAACCATTTCGGGGGAGAAGAAGGTGGAGGAAGGAACCTTTAACTTAAACCTTCCTTGTTGAAAAGCAATTGATTACTTTTCATCCTACCCTCTGTCCTCTTTTTAACATTTTACACATCTGAAGACCAGTATTGCTCCCATCAGTATTCTTTCCTAAACTAAAGAAACCAATTCTTTTAACTTTTCTTCATCTCATATTTTCTAAACCACATTTTTTCTTTTTTCCATTTGAACCTTTGAGTCATTTCCATTTTCTCTGAGTATAATACCCAAAACTATACACAGCAGTTTAGTTGGGACCACATCAGTGCCAAATTTGTAGTAATTTGAATTCAATTTAGTCGATTTGAATTCTTCAGTTTTCCAAACTTTTTCCATCCCAGTTTTGTGCTATCCATAAATTCTAAGCATTTCTCTCCATCATCTAAGTCAGGGTTATCTAACTGGCCGCTCAGACGCTGCATACAACCTACGAGGGATTAATGCACAGCTCCTCGGCTGCTGCTCCCCTCACGCAACTACAACAGCAGCCACAGTTCTCCAGGCTGTCACCTCCTCAAGCTGCCGCTTCCTGCCTTTGTCCCAGGGGATAAGGCAGTATGGCAGCACAGGGAGCTGAGGGTGAATCCAGGGCCGTGCCTAGGGAAGGGTTTTGGGACCACAGGAGATGGGGGCAGCATCCACACAAGTGCATATTGCAGTGGGGGAGGGAGAAGGGGGTGTCCACAAGCTGTAACTGGTGCAGCCCAGGCAGCATGCAGACCCTGAGAAATGTAACCCCAAGGAGCTTCAAAGCAGGACAGCCCTGATCTAAGTAACTAATGAAAACACTGAATAGAACTAGATCCATGACAAGACACCTAGGACACACTGATTGGTATATTCTTCCTATTTGAAAAGGGGCCAACACTGAAACAAGCTACTCAGCAAAGGTTATCAGCAACCATTCATGCACCCCCTTTTTGGTATTTCAGCTAGAATATATTTCCCCAATTTAAATGTTTAGCAGGACACAATAAAATGTTTTCTATTCCCTAGTTCTTCAATGTAAAAAAATGACACTGCAAAAATTTTACATATCTAAGCTAATATACAAAGTTATTTTTCTCACCTTTCTCCTTTCAGCTGCGTAAAAATAAGAATACTATCTTCATTCAGGAGGTTGCGTATGTTGTATGCATTTCCTATAAGCACAAAAAGATCTCATCAGAAGCTATTTGCTGTTTTAGAATATTATAACAAAATGTTTAAGTATAATTTAACTTGTCCAATGTGCATTCTGAACTCTCAGAATGACAATTTATGTGGCATTTTATCCATAATTTTTAGATAGATCTCGCAAATCTTCAAATAATCTCAATTTGTTTCATGTTTACTAGCAGTTGGAAGGAAAAAAACTATCTGCAATTACTTATTTTGACAGCAAGTTAGAATAACTTGAAAAAGATGTGCAATGAAGGGTGTTTTATCCTTGTGAAAGCAAAGAGGTTGAATCCCATACTTCAACAGCCATAAGAAAGCTTTACTATAACTGTGATTTTTCACACCAAGAAAAATCAAGACATCAAGGGGTTAAAACCTGTACTCAACTTATCGGAGTAATGTCTGCAGGTGTCCACTTGGGATCTGCCAGCTAGCACAGTGGTTCCTAACCTTTTGTATACTATGGACCAGCAAACTACGGACCGGAAGTGACTGCAGACCAGCATACTGCAGACTGAAATGACCAGAATATTGCCGACCAGAAGCCAAGCCTTCGCGGCCCGCTACCAGGCTGCAGCCTGGCGGTTGGGAACCTTTGAGCTAGCAGCAACAAAAATTAAGAACCGTCTAAAAAACAGTTAATGTGCAGACCAAGTGTCATGAACCCACTATATTTGAAGTTTTCATGGAATGGAATGCACATTTCCCCGAATTAAGTTCACTGCTACAGTGTTTTGTGACTCTCAGCAGCTAAAGATAAGCTGTCTAGTCTTGTTATTTGAATATTTGCATGAAGTTATGATGTTTGATATGGATATATTTCTATACCCTTGTATGAAAACCAAGCAAAGAAGGTAAATGATACCACAGGAAAGGACAAAGGCTATTCACACCTAAAGGATCACAAATGGTTGGGAGAAGTAAACACTGAAAATTTAGACACCTATGCATACTGGATGCTGAGGTGAGGTGCAGGTGCCAAGGCCTGACCCAGGCAAGGGCAATGTTTTTTAAAGGGAAATAATCTTCTCCCCACATAGTATTAATTGAAACTGGAAGATTCAACTACTAATCTTTGTGTGACAGGATGTAAATATTCCTCCGGTCTATTAAAGGGGCAGGTTATATACACAATATTTGATCTTCACAAATTCTACAGAAGAATAGAAATGCCCAGATAAGAACAAGTGCTTAACCCAGGGTATGGGAGCCAGCATTTGTCTAAAACTTCCTGGGCATAAGGTGTTTTGGTCCCTCACCTAAAATATTAAAAAGAATCATTACCCTAATTCTTCCCCCCACCCCCACTTACTCCTTCACCTCTAATGTAGTTCCTTGTATTTCCTCTTCAGCCTGGTCCCTGGGCAATAAATTGTTTTTAAGATGTACTTACCTGCTGGAACATAGAAGAAATCTCCTGTAGACAGATGATATGACATCTCGTGCAAGGTAAAAATAACTCTCCCATGAACCACATGGAAAGCCTTTACAAATTAAAGCCATAGAGCCTGTTAGTAAAATACTTTTCTTTCACAGTAGTACTGATCATTTGCACACAAAGTACACCCTGCACTTCACAGATTCACAGAAGTTCAGGGCTGGAAGAGACCTCGTGAAATCGGGTCCTGCCCCGTGCTCTGGGCAGGGATCCTCCCTATCCAAAGCCGCCCAGAATCTAAACCCTAATGAAGCTGCTTGCACATTTACTGCTTCAACTCCATGTCACTGGTGCAACAGCTCTTGCCTTTTTTCTTCCAGTCAGGGCACCTCTCTCTAACATCAGCCAACTGAGGGGCACCCCATTTCAGATCCATTATGGTGCCAACCTCCTTCCAGAGGGGCTGCAAGAGTGTGGGGGACAGGGATAAGCTTGGGCTGAGGTGCTCTCAGCCCTGGGGGCCAGCTGCCCACCCCTGCAGCTTGGAGCTGTGGGAGGGCCCAGCTGCCCACTACACACACCCTCACGCTGGGGTGGCTGCTAGGCCAGGCCCCAGACACATGGCTGCCCCAAGTGCAATAGCAAAGGGTGGGGGGGAAGCTGCTCTGGATCCTGTGCATGCATACTTCTCCCTCCTCCCCCATCAATACCAATGCAGACCAAAGTCTTTGGTATTACTGTATTTACCCGAATATAAGATGACCTGAATATACAAAGACACCCCCAATAACTAGATCAATATATAGAAAATTTATAAATCTGCTATAATTTTCTAGGTATAGAATCTAATTATTGGAGGTATGCCTTGAATTTATCCCCCTCCCACTGCTACAACAGGGAAAATCCATCTGGGGGAGGGTCAGGTGGCCTCCTTGCCCTTTGCACCCCCAAACTCTTCCCCCTCCAGAGCGCCGCCCCCCCCCTGCCCCGGCTTACTGTCAAGACCCTGTTCTCCCCAAGCACATGAAAGTGAGGCAAATTGAAAAAACACTGACCTTGAAATAAACATAGCTGTTGTAATTTGCATCTAGTACCATAGACTAAGTTCATTCAGCACTGATGGATTTTATCTTTTTTTAAACTGCTTCAAGTTTTAGCACATATAAACATACTTTTGAGCAACCTTTTTTTAAACTTATTTGTACATAGTATAAACTATGCATGATATTAAGTCAAGTCAATCCCAAGGCCACATCAAGTGTTGGGAAACCTTTGATGTTAGCAATAACTTTTCCCCATTCTTCCCAGTCTTTTACAATTCTTGTACAATCAGTCACTTTTAATCCTGTCCAGCCTTCGATCCAACAGGTGATCCAGCTTGTTCTAGGTCTTCCTCCTCCTGTTCATCTTTCCACAGCATCCTGCAGAATGGTGTTGGTAAGGGTGCCAGGCCTTCTTATTACATGTCCAAACCACTGCATCTTTCTTTTTCTTACGATTTTGAGTAAGGGTCTGTATTTGTCGACTTCTTGTCCGATTTGCATGCATGATATTAGTCGAAAGCCAAGATGCTTGTTCATTGGATGGAGCCCCAGCACAGTCAACAGCATTTCAAGCCATGGTGACCCCACAGCTCAGCACTGCACACCCCACAAAGGATCCACGTGCTAATTAGGCTCTCATTCATGACTGGAACCAGGTGTTGTCATGAGTTCCAGGATCCTCCAAAAATTTATACGCAGACAAGGTAAAGAGCAACCAGGTAAAGAGCTGGGTAAAGAGCAACCAGGTAAAGAGCTGGTCCAGCTCCCACCTCAGAGGGCAGGGCCACATTTATCATATGGCTAAGATGGAGTAGTGAAAGAGGGATTCTGGGTAAACTGTTTGGGCTCCATTTGGTGATGTTTGCCAGACTTTTAAGGCTGGTGAAGAAACAGGAATCATTGGAAATAGAAAAGAAAGGCACAGCTCAGCTGTGGGAGTAAAGAGGAAATCAAAATGTTTTCAATATAGTGGTTCACCAAGACTTGAAAAAGAGTCGGTACTGAGGGGGACTGAGAACAATGGGCACTACCATATATTTTATTCAGATTCACTGCATTAACCTGTCCTTACGGTAGGTTCCCATCAGCATGTTTGTCCATTATGGGTTTTGTGTTTTATAGTCATGCTCAGTGTTGAAATGAAATACAGAAGTATATTTAATCAACTCCATAGCTGGTTTCCATTATTGACCACATGTTGCTTTTGGCAGCAGTTTAAGTGAGAGATGCTGTATTTAATAAGGTTTCCTTGCATGCAAGACAAGGGGCTTTCCCCTCCTCACATGCTGATTCAAGAAAAAAAACCTGTGTCTTGTATTCAAATAAAGACAGTAAGTGTACACTAAAATCCCAGGACCCAATAAGCAGCTTCCTTACTTGAGTGCATGCTTACACAATATAAGAAGGGGGGGGAAATAAAAATAAAGACCAAATTCCAATATTAAATATTATTTAGAACAGTTAAAAAATTAAGGCATAAAATCCTTTCAGTATGCAATTCTACTAAACAAACAGGCATACTTACTATTTTATCCATGTGGATAAACTGATACCCCTTTTCTTTAAGTGGTTTCAAGATCAGTTTACCAGTAGCAAAAACAGATGTATTGAGGTGTTTATATATTTCCACTGACTCATCTTTAAAGAAGAAGGAATGATTATGTCCAGTGCTAATACACTCTATAGAAAAAACAAAATTGCCAGAAGATAAATATTAAAATCCACATGTAATGAGTTTAACATTAGTTCAGTAAATTCTCATATTTCTTAAAATCGCATGCACAACTCAGTGCAACATGCTACAAAATGTTAGATTGGGTGGCCAATCGATAAATTCTATAGGTCGTGTATTTCTCCTCCTCTTTGTGGCTCCCCCCACACTGCTCCCCGAAAAAGGAAAACTGACTTCTCAGCCTCTCTCCAAGTAGAGGGAAGGAAACTCCTATGAATGTATTTTCTGCACTCTTGCCAGCTCCCTTCAGCAACCTACCCAAAAAAACCTCTCCATTAACTGCTGGGTCCCATACAGCAGTTGGCTTAGAAGCATCTGCCAAGGAAACATCCAAATCTTCAACTCTATCATGTTCTGAAAAAGGAAAGTGTAAAAAACTGATTCTGGTACAGGACATGTTTAAACCAAGTTTAGACACTGTAATGCCATCACTAGATCTCAGAGGATTTATAATATAAATGTATAAATACTTCATTTCACTGACTTTAAATATACAGAAAGATGGAAAGACATATTGCCCTAATAAAAGGGAATTACCTGTAATAACAGTACTTTGAAAACATCATTTCTCATTGGATTTGTTCTTATGCATTAAGGGATAAATGGCTCCCTAAACACTTAATTGGATTCTCCATAAAACTGGTAACTACTCCTTCCACACCAGAAGTGCCAGGTCCTACTCAGGACCATCAACACTCTGGGCATCTATACATGACAGAGCAGACTTGATTAATCAAGTCCACTGGAGCATGCTAATTAGTGTGCTCCAGCAGCCAACGTGTCATGTGTATTCAGTGTCCCCATGTTTCAAAATGGCGACGGGGGGTGGACTTTAAGTAAAGCTCTTTGAACAAGCTGTAAAGCGCCCCTGCTGCCATTTTGAAGCATAGGACTCTGAATAAATATGGCACTGCGGATGCTTTAATTAGAGAGGCTCTCATCCACTCTAATTAAAGTGCCCCTCACCACTCCAATCTGGAGCATGTGTATAGATGCCCTCAGAGCTGCTCTAATTAAAGTGCCCTCCCCCACTACGAGCATGTGTATAGACGCTTTCTAAGCCCAATGTTTTCAGCAGATGGAGCTCCTAAAATATTTCAGGAGAATATCAAGCAAAATCAGAATATTTAGCAAAATCAGAAACGGCCTTCTCTGTGTTATGAACAAAAATGAACAAAACTGTGTTTAACACTGCTAGTTAAAAATGTTAACATGTTTTTCTAGTATACAGCTTTTGAAAATGTTGCCCACTATCTTTTGGGCCGACCATTAGAGCATATATTAACGAAATGCTTGGCAACATTATGTACAAGTAAACTACTTTAATAGGTGACTTTAACATATGTCAACTGACGGGCTAGTAAAGGGAGAAAAAAAACAACCCATGCTTCATTTTTGGTGACAACTGCACTAAGGACCTCCCAGACAGTTATACATTCCTCCTTCTAGTCCTTCCTTTCAAACCATATGAAGTTCAAGTTTTCTGTAAACTGAGTTTTGGCCACGATAATCTAGTACATTTTTTAAAAGACTAAATTTAACAACTATATATATATATATGACACAATCCGAACTAAAGGCAAAAGTTGTGTTTTTCATGTTAGTTAAGAGTTTGATTAGCACATTTTTCCTACAGGTTTTCACCGTACTTGGACACTGACAGGGGTACCAGGTTAACTCAGTGCATGTTCTAAACCTCTGCTGCATATTGTATTTTTTAAATTGTTGACACAAAAAAAGAGAAGTTATATGGGTGTTTGTACTTTTTTTCTGAACATGGTGATTTCTCTTCTTCTTAACTTTTTCGGGTGATACTGGACGCACTACTCCAGCAATCACAAAACCTCCTAAAAGAGAAAAAAAAAAATCAAATAAAGATAATTACTATGTAAAGATAATTTTTAAAATATCTATCAAGGGAAAAAAATTATTAATGTTTTCAGAGCATCCTGGTTTAGAATCAAGTTTATACGAAAATTTAGCATAATCACAAACTTTTGTAAAGCTACAGGTGCATTTGGAAATGCCATTCAAAAGTAAAATCATTTCTATTTCTTAGTTTGGGATTAGACACTGAAAAATTCCCTTTCACACTGTGCAGTGTACTGCTAGATTGTTTCGCAGGACCAACTTTACACCACTCCATAGCAAGCTGGGAAGCCTCTATTTACAGTAAAACAAAACCACTTAAAATTGAGCTTCCCTCAGATGAAGAACGAGAGCTGAGAAAATAAGTAGTCTTGCAGCAGCTAAAAAAAACGCAACAGTTTTTTCATACCATGCAGTATTTAAAATTAGAACGTTAACAGTAAGAATTCCTGGATATATGATTTTAAAACTATATCCCTATATAATATAGAGAATGTTTTGGTATAGAGCATGAAGGATTTACTGGAATTAATTATTATAGCCATGTTAACCACAGCTGAGAATCTGAACACAACTGTCATCAATAAATCTTTTACTTTTACCTACTTAATTTCAACAAAGTATTCTGAGTATTCTGTGTACATGACCTGAAAATCATCAAAAAAGCTGTTGTAGCTTTCTTGAAACTGCTGTTATAAAGAGACTAACAAACCTGACTGCATTTTAAGACTATAATTGCAAAATGAATGGCAATGGACAGCCAAGCAAATGTAACTCACATTTTAAATGAAAGCCCTTTCCTTATTCACAAACCTTTAACTTAAAATTAAATTTTGGCCTGCTCACATGGATTGAAGATAAAAGAATTAAAAGCTGTTAGATAAAACTGTAAAACACAGTACCCTAACTAAAACATTCAACATGAAGAAAACCTGGGCAACACCACCGCTGCAAGTGACCTTCTGCACGAGTACTTCCAGAACCTAAATTTGACAGAAGTTAACTTCACACAGTGACAAAAAGGACAGTGCAATTTTGATAAGCATGTGTAAATGCATTTCATCTCGTTCTGCTAACCATATACATTTGCTAAAACCAACCAAGAAACATGCTCTTCAAGTCTGAGTGTCTTATTACCCAAAAGGTAGACAACACAAAGGTAGTTCAAGACAACACCAAGTAAAATAGTTAAGAATGATAGCTTTATATGGTAAGATTAAAAAGAAGACATGTGAGCCAAAACTTTCAAATCAACCCAGCACACTTTACTATGACTGAATTTTGAAAAGTTAGGTACCTAAATCACATAGCCAGGTTTTCAAAAGGCTCTGCCCCTCATTAAAATGAAGGGAACCAAGTTTTGAATATGTGGTCTTGTATAAAACAGGTAGTACTTAAAAAAAGACAAGATACAAATGTAAAAATTGTGAAACGTGTAATAATCAAGAATGGTAAAGAATTTATAACAATATGTAAGTCCCATTCTTTGAGATTTGCTATTTAGTAAGTACCAGAAATGATCCCTGACAAGATAAATTCTACCACCTTAGCATTTAAAATTTGGGACTGAATGATTATAATATGTAGTGGGGAACACAGCCTTGCACTGGACCAGAGATCAATTAATGTCCCATTTAGTCTTTTACATCTCATACAGTAGAGAATCATTCAGCTAAAAGAGGGTGTCCCAGGGGGACACAAGCGGAGGCCCCAGGGCACCCTCCCGCAGCAGGACCTGAGACAGGGCTGGCCTGCTTGAAGAAAGAAATGAAAAGCCCTGAACATTTACTTACTTACTTACTTACTATTTTCAGAAAGAACGGTGCCCGTGCAGTTTGTCAGCTGCTTTTATTGCTGGCTGGGAGCAGCACCAGCCGATGACAATCAAAAACCGCCGCCTGGCTAATTTAAAAGCTGGCAGCGAGGGAATGAAGGGGACAACAATAATGCCGGAGCCAGGAGGTGAGGCTGCTCCCCGGGCTGCACATGGGCTGTGTTGGCAGCCCAACAAGGAGCAAGATGGAGACCCACAGAAGGGGTCCCGGCTCCATTAAAAGAGGCATCTCCCCAGCTCAGCAAGGCAGCTGTGCCAAGGAGGACGGCATTGAGGGATCCTGAGGACCACAGACGCTGGACCTGTGAGTGGGACGGGCTGACCCCCCCATGCCCCAACTATTCCTTTCTTTTCCCTTTTTTTTGTGCTGTTGTTTTGGAGGGTCCGCAAGAGCCCCAGATCAGAGAGGGAGGCTTTGGGTGACCCCTCAGGTCAAAAAGGAAAGAGGCAAGGCAACTCAGTGGATTGCTACGCCTCGAAAGAAGAGTGGGCACCGTGACAAGGGTGGTCTCACGCCCACAGCCTTCCTGGGTGAAGGGATGACAAGAGATGGGCAGGGAGAGAGGGAACAAGCGACAACATCAAGGGACAGGCCTGGAACCCATCATCCGGCCATCCTAAGGGCTGGTGCATGGCTGGGGTGTAGGGGAGGTGCAGCCACAAGAATGCCCGCTAAGGGCAGCACCTGGTTTGCAGGAACCTGCAAGAAGGAACCCCACCACCGAAGAAAAGAAGATCAAGTCGTGGCAAGCAAGTGTCGGGGCATCCTTCGGGGGTGAATGCGGCCCAACGCATAGGCCCCAGGGACACACCCTGCGACCAGCGCCGGGTATGCGCTATAAAGCCACTAGAGAGCACCTATACAAGGCTAGGCAGGTGCAAAGGGATACAAATTTGAAGAAGCCATCTGTTCTTCCCTTTAAGTAGGAACACAGCATGCAGACCTAAAGAAAGGACAGCTTTTTTTCCTCATAAAAAAAAGCTTTAATGTTTTCTTCTGACACTGTCTTGCGTGTGAAGGTTATGGGGAGTGTGAGTGAAATAAAGTAAAGACAGTCACTGCCTGAGGCCTTAAGTGGTCTGGCACCAACTAATATTTTGCTTTATAATACTTAATATTTATAAAATAATTATGGCTCAGTTAAAAACCATTTGTTTTAGTATAGAATCAAAGGCAAGCAAACATGGGAGTTAAGAGGCAATACCTGAAGGCCTACTCATATAGTTGACACGCTCGCCTCGCCAATATTCCAGAGGTTTTAGTCGTGTTCTTTTTGTTCGGCGAACATTGGGAGTGTTGGAAGGCTTTACTATATTAAAACATTGAAAAGAATTAAAACAGTTTGTAATTTATAGGAAAGACACTGAGACGTTATCAGTGGAAGTTTTAAGATACTCTTGTTAGCTCCTCTAAACCTTGAGCTCTACTGAGGAGCATACAAAAAAAACCTCATTCTTCATACCACAAGCCATCCTATAATTTCTATAGGGTATCATTTGAATTACACATACTTTTCTCCATGGTTGAACTGGAATAAGTAACAACCACTTTATAAATTAGGTGCTTTTTTGCCAAATTGTTACACAAGGTTCACCTTTCAAACGAGGATGTTTTTTAAACCTTAATTTTAATCCAATCAGCTTTCTGGCTAAAATTTAAAATGGAGACCTGCTGACAAGTATTCCAAGACCAAAAGAGACATTTGAATAGTATACCAAGTGTTTTCACCAGCAAATGCTAGAGATTATCAGATTCAGTACCATTTATGTATTATTCAATCTCTTACCAGAAGCATTTAACAGAAAATAGCTTAATTAATAATTTACTTTGCTCCTAACACAAAATATTCATCCCATCTGCATTAGTACTTAAACTATATCTCTTTTTGTTAAACAGGAAAATAAAACAAGTACTGCCAATAACATTCTTTCAAATGCAGTTATCCCATCCTATTTGTCCAACAACAGTCTCTACACCAGTGAAAAAGTACCATTTGTGTTGGCATAAAGAGCCTGGCCAAGGCTTTTCCTGCCTTCAGACTCAATAGCAGGGACCTTACCAACAGAGACCTTATTTGCTTAGAGCAAGGGTTTTTAACCTGTTTTAATAAGTGCACTCCTGGCAGCCCCCTTTTTAATAAGTGTTCCCCAGGGAAGGGTTGGCAAGCGGCAGAGTGCAGAGTGCGAGGGTGGCACCGCTCCCCGGGAGGAACACGCTGTGCTGGCAGCCTTCAGTCCCAGCACACGATGCTGGCCACGGAGTTGGGGGAGGGGGGTAGTGCACAGCCAAACGTACACATGCAAGCTTGCCCTCCCCCCCGCCCATGTCCAGCCAGGCCTGTGAGGCAACACGGGATGGTGCATGGCAATGTTCCATCCCCACCCACCCACATGTACCCACTAAAGCTTTCTCAAGTACCCCCAGGGGTACACATACCCGTGGTTGACACCCGCTGGCTTAGAGCTCCTCTCACTCCTACCCACATGGATCCAACATATCTTCCAACAGAATACAGAGAGATCTCCATGCATCCCCAAAAACATGTATTCTATGCTAAACTGAACTTTAACTTTTCTGGTGTACTAGACATGGGCATATACTGGGACCCCAGCATTCACCTTGGACTATAACACAAAAGGAGATAAAAATAGCATAGAGAACCTTAAGAACATGGCTGGGGGACTGGAAGGCAGAGGCTGCAGGGTATGAGGGTAAGATTCTTAAAAGAGTTAAGTATGGAGAAGTTCAATATAAAGTGGCAATGTTTAACACAAATCATCAGGCATTTAAATAGTTTTAAAACAGAATAGATTTCTAAATAATGAAACTAAAGTGAGGAAAATAAAACAACTGGAACATACTAGAACTAAACTTTATTTAAAAAACACAGAAAGGCAAGGGTTAAAAAATAGGCTGCCCACTTATGTCTTAATCATTCTACTAGCCAACTGCCCATCAAAAATGACGGAGGTGGGGGGCAGCTGTAACCAGCAGCCTGCGTCTGGCCCCA